TAACAAGAAAAAAAATTCCCTTTATTATTCTTTCCTAAAAAATTATTTTATTACTTTTTATGAATTTTGTTTAAATTTGCAATATTACATTGATATTACATTATGCTTTATAAAAATTGCAATATAATATTTCAAGAATTTTTTATATTTTAAAAAAATATTCGTGGAAAAAAATTTTTACTAATTAAATTGATAAAAACTTACAAATCTTTCTAAAAAATAAACAGATTAAAAAGAAAATAGAATATTTTAGAAATTCTGTACCTTTCTCTAAAATATTGTTCTCAAATCTTAAGATTTTTATCGCTTATAGTAAGAATGCAATAAAATATTTTAATTTTAATATATTTATATAAAATATCTATATAGTATATTTATAATTCCTATGTTTTACGATTAAAAAATCATTATTTAATTTATTATATATGTTTAATTTATTTTTTAATTTATTTTTTAATTAAAATAAAAATAATAGTACAATAATAAAAAATAAATATTATTCAGCTAAAAAAAATAAATATATAAAAGTTGAAATACGATATAAAATGAAGGAATTTTTTTATACTATTTAGAAATAAAAAAATATGTTTAAAATACAAAGTGATTGTCTTTGATTTAGTAGATGTAATTTAAGTATTATTCTAAATCGGATTGAAATGTATGAATGAACAGACTTTACATGTGCCGCTAGTTTTCTGTAATAGTAATAACCATCAGATGGCGCAGTAATTTAAACACTACTTGAATACACGGGAGTTTCCAAGCTCTGGTGTGATCGGCAGCAAAATGGCAGCGAGCGACTCTACCACGGACGACAGCCTTTATCCGATCGCTGTTTTGATCGATGAACTAAAAAACGAGGATGTACAGGTAATTCTAAAAGTATTCAAGATCGATATCTTACAATTGCAAAACAATCGAATTGTCGTACCGCTTGCAATCATTGGAAAATACAGAGTGTTAAGGTGGCTACAGCGATAGCGTACAATTCGATAGAATATTCTTTTACTCTTCTGTCACTTTATATTAAATATTCTATCTTTGATATCAATATACTGAACAATGTAAATTATTTATATAACAATTCTTTCATCAAAAGATTTAAACTTAAGATTTTAATTTGAGAAAATGTATTTCATTACTTATAGAAAACAAGCGTCTGAAAAGATAATGATTGGATTATGAAGAATTGACCTACACGTTTACAGAATTTGTTTTGTTATAGTTACGGCTGAACTCAATAAAGAAATTATCTACGATTGCTCTTGCATTGGGTATTGAACGAACACGTAGTGAATTGATACCATTTTTAACTGAATCTATGTATGATGAAGATGAGGTTCTATTAGCATTGGCAGAACAACTCGGACAGTTTACTCCTCTTGTAGGAGGTCCAGAATACGTACATTGTTTACTGGTATATATTATTATTTGTTATTTTACTCGATAATTGTAATAGCAATAATATTTAACAAATTTTTATTAAGATATATATTATTTAATATTTAATTCAATATATAAATTATTTTTTTTCATTATAATAAAATAATTTGAAAAATTATGATTCGTATAAGATGTTATATTAAAGCAAATCATATTTGATATCATTAAATATGAACATATATTATTTCAAATAAAAAATAATTTTAAATATTATTGCTATATAACAATTGTTATCATTATATGTTTTAAACAAAGAAAATTGATTAAAGAGATATGAATTGATAAAAGAGATATATATTATTTACTAAGATACTTAAAATAACACTTAATAAAAATTTAAAAAAAAATAATGATAAATTTTTTAAATAAAATTTTTTTTAATGTAGAAACCTCTAGAGAGTTTGGCAACAGTTGAAGAAACTGTAGTTCGAGATAAAGCAGTGGAGTCTTTAAGAACTATTGCTGCTCAACATAGCTCAACAGATTTGGAAGAACAATTTGTTCCTTTGATACATCGTTTAGCAACAGGAGATTGGTTTACATCAAGAACATCAGCATGTGGTTTATTTAGTGTTTGTTATCCACGTGTTAGTCCAACAGTTAAAGGTAAAATAAAAAAAATTTTTTAAATTTTAAATAATATAAAAATTAAAATTTCATTTGTATATAATTTCATATATAAACATTTCATGTATAAACTTTTTTTTTTATTTTTTTAGCATGTTTACGGAATCATTTTCGTAACTTATGTCAAGATGATACTCCAATGGCACGTAGATCTGCTGCCTCACATTTAGGTGAATTTGCAAAGGTTATGGAAATTGAATATGTAAAAGCAGATTTAATTCCAATGTTTGTCATCTTAGCTCAAGATGAACAAGTAAGATAAGATGTAAAAAATTATCTTATTAATTTTAAAATATTCATATCTATATTCATATCATATTTTATAGGATTCAGTACGTCTCTTGGCAATTGAAGCTTGTGTCAGTATTGCAGCATTGTTACCACAAGAAGATGTAGAACAATTAGTTATGCCCACTCTTAGACAATGTGCAAGCGATCAATCATGGCGTGTACGTTATATGGTGGCAGATAAATTCACAGATGTAAATTTTTTTTATATATTTTTCTCTTTTAATAAATATTTAAATAATATTGATTTTTAATTAATTTTTGTTACTATTTATAGCTTCAGAAAGCTGTAGGTCCAGAAATTACGAAAACAGATCTTGTACCAGCATTTCAAGTACTATTAAAAGATATAGAAGCTGAAGTACGAGCAGCAGCAGCTGATAAAGTTCGTGACTTTTGTCAAAATCTTGACAAATTTAATCAAGAGTCTATTATTATGACACAAATATTACCAATAGTTAAAGAACTTGTATCAGATCCAAATCAGCATGTAAAATCAGCTTTAGCAAGTGTTATAATGGGTCTTAGTCCAATATTGGGAAAACATAAGTGAGTAAATATAAAAAATATATATCTATATATTTAGTTTAAATACATTTTAAATTAAATGATAATAATAATAAATTTTTTAAATTTACAGTACAATTGAACATTTATTACCATTATTTTTATCACAACTCAGAGATGAATGTTCAGAAGTTCGTCTAAATATTATCAGTAATTTAGAATGCGTTAATGAAGTTATTGGTATACAACAACTTTCACAATCTTTATTACCAGCTATTGTAGAATTAGCCGAAGATTCAAAATGGCGTGTAAGATATGCCATCATAGAGTAAGTATTTTCCATGATATATTGCATATAATAGTAATATATATTAAAATAATATATATTATATAATATAATATATATTAAAATATTAATATATAATCATAAAATTGGTAAAATTAAATTAAATTTTATTTATTATATAAATAATCATTTGTATTTATTTATATATTTTAGATATATGCCATTACTAGCTGGACAACTTGGAGTTGAATTCTTTGATGAAAAATTAAATTCTTTATGTATGACTTGGTTAGTAGATCATGTTTATGCTATCAGAGAAGCAGCAACGTTAAATTTAAAAAAATTGGTAGAAAAATTTGGTCCTGAATGGGCACAAAATACTGTAATACCTAAAGTCTTAGCAATGTCAAGGGATCAAAATTATCTTCACAGAATGACATGTCTATTTTGTATCAATGTAAGTAAATTATTGTATTATTTATATAATAGTTAAACTTTTTCTATTATTTTTTTATCTTAGGTATTAGCAGAAGTATGTGGTCCAGAAATAACAACAAGGGTAATGCTTCCAACAGTCTTAGGAATGGCCACGGATAATGTTGCTAATGTACGATTTAATGTTGCTAAAACCCTTCAAAAAATTGGACCTTATCTCGAGCCTTGTGCAGTACAAGCTCAAGTAAAACCTGTCTTGGATAAACTTAATACCGACAGCGACGTGGACGTAAAATATTTTGCTTCAGAAGCAATTGCAGGCATCGCAGGTAAAATTCTTATTATTTTATTTGATAAAATATTATTCTTGAATGAAATCTTTAATTTTTATCCATTATTTTTAAATTACATTTTTTATAGAATATATACTATGTTTCAGCGTAGGTTGAACAAAAGAAACTGCATTTAAGATTTATCCACCATTATACAGAACCTCAATCTCAAAAAGTAATCTGACGCAAACATTTACACTTACACATGGCAACAGGTAATATTATTGCACAGTCAGAGCAGATCTAATGTTGAAAAAAAATATAAATGTAAAATTCGTAGTTCACATATTAAACGATATTTTAAGTTCTGTTGTATCTGTATATCTATAATTATATTACATATTATTAAATATTCAATTCAATTGGTAAAATGTATTTCTTATACGTACCTAAATAATTATCTAGAGAATGATATAGTAATAATAATAAAAAGTACTCAGAATCATTCCTAAAATCAGAAAATTTCATTATAATCTGCTCTTCCATATTCATTGATCAAAAATTTACTTTATCTTTTAATAATCAGTATTTTAGTTTGGTACATAACATTGTTAAGTATTGTCTTTGTAAACAACAATAAAATTAACAATGAATAATGTAATTTTATTTTGGTCTTTTTATTTAGTAATCAACTTGAATATCATACAATTTATATCATCGCATTTTATTATTATATTTTTTTATATTTTTCATTTTCTATTTTAAATTAGTTAAATTAGTTACCAAATTAGTGTTAATTAGGAATATTTAAGTTCATCCATAGGAAAATAATAATTTAATAATATCATCATTAAAAAATTTGGAATTTTAGAGTTTTGAAAAATAATTGTTTAAATTTAATTCGAGTATAGATATAATATTTGTTATTACATATGATTACTTAAATAATAAAACATTTTAAAAAACATTTATATAATTTCGATATAAATTATTAGTTATATTAACCAATTTATAATAAAAAAAAATAGATATGACAATGAAAATATTTTTTTCATTCATTTTATATTAAATAGATATTTCTATTAGTGTTATTTAAGGGATGGCTAATCATTATAACATAACACTTACAAATATATCATTTAATAGTTGTTAGTGTAACTACCATATACATAATAATTTTATATTAATAAGTTATTAAAACTAAAATGTTTTTGTACTTCTACAAGAAAGAATATTTGTTAGTATTATAATAGTACATATTCTTTTCCATGAAGAGGAAATATATATCATTTCTTAATTTTATGATACTATATACACATTCTATAAAACTAAGAGGCATATGAAATACGAGTATTTTCAAATATAAAATTTATATATCGCAGAAACAATTCTTATTCTATATCTATTTAAAAATCTTACATATCAGTGAGTTATTTATAAAATATGTACCATTATTGACAATATTTTTAGTTTTATAAAACCATATAATACGAATTTTGAAATTGTAGTACGATTATATAGAAACTAATTTTTATAAACGTTAAACATTATGAATTGAAATTATTGAATATTATTGCATACATTTTTTTTCTTATAACATTCCATAATATGGAACATATATATATATTTAGTACTATAATATAAAAGAAATTTTATTTTTGTATTTATGCAAACAGTTTTGAAAATCATATAAAACTATATATTTATTTTATTTTTTAAACTTTATATTTCAATTCATATATTCTAATTTTAAAGTTTTATATTTATAATTTAAACTTTTTTTGTTTAATATATGTAAAAACTGATGTTTTTAAATATATTATTTTCATTTGATCTTAACGATATTATTTTGAATAATGAAAATATATTTGTCATTAAAAAGTATAAACAAAATATTTTAATTTTGAGATAACTTGATAGATTAGTCGAAAAACGTAAGAAAATTTGATCTGATTATAAAAATAAAGAAAATTATTACATGATTTTCCATAATTTGTTAAATACTAACATTAACTTCAAAAATTATATGGAAAGTTGTAAAAAAAATTATACATATACAATTTTACACTTTTAACATTCCAATAAACATTTTTGTTCTAACTTTGTTAATTTTTTTTATAAATAAAGATGAAATAAATGTTATATCATTAATATAAGTCAATAAGTCAAATATCAATTATATCGTAGCTGTTTCAGATTTTGCCAAGTCTACACAAACTGTATGACTAATAGTTGATACATGTGCATTTCCATTATTATCAGAACTAATAATATTTAAAGATGAAATTTTGGCACGCTGATATGCTACAACTGTGTTTAAACTTAAAAACCTAAAAAAAAATTTTTTTTTAATAAATATGATATGCAACAATGACATATGTAAATTAATAATAAATATAAAAGCAGAAATTATCAATAACTTACCTTATACAAACATACATAACCAATAATGCAGTACCAGCTGCAAGCATTCTAATAATTGGGCCTTCTACTAATTGAATAAGAGTCCAAGCAGCAGCTGATGATCCACACATTGTCGTGACAATAGCAATAGTTTGCAAGCAATGACGCGAAGTTATACCATTTTGCCAATCCAATTTACTTGCATGTTCAACATTATATTTTGTACCACATACTTTGCAACTAAGACTATCAGCATTTATAGAACTCTGAAATAAATATATATGTGTAATAATATAAAAAATATATAAAATATGAATATAAAATAAAAATAATATTTTACCTCGACTAACCATCGACGCAAACAATTGTGGTGAACTGCACTCACATCACCTCTACATTGACAAGGTTGTATTAATGGTCCAGCATCTTGTCTTTCACTATCATAACAAATCCAACAATCTTTACTACTAATTGACGTTCCATCTGAGAAAAGTGCAGTCTCTTGTTCTCCACCTTTATCTTGTAATTCTATTTCTTTTATATACTTAGAGTGATCTAATCGCTTTAAAAGACGTTTCGGATTTAGAATCCATAATTGTTCTGGACTAAAATAAAATAAAAAAAAATATTATAATAGTTAAATATCAATTAAGATTAAGATAATAAAAATTATAAATAATATGTTAAAATATTATAGATTTTCATATTAAGTTTATAGTTTCATTATTATATTATATTAATTATATTTTAAATTAGTTATTTAATATATAATATAAAATATAAACCTAAAACAATTCCATAACACACATGGAAACCATAATATTACGCCTACTTCAATAATACGGAAAACAACATCATGCCAATTCCTACTATATATAGGAACTCTGTAACATAAAATATATGTAATTATTAAGGATAAGAAAAATATAATTATATTCAATTAAGATATTATTTTCAAACTCACTTTGCTTTCCAAAATTCACTAAGTGTTTCACTACATAAAAATCCAACAATAAAAAATAGCATGATAGCTTGTGATAATAATCCTACACGAGATTGATGTAACTGAGAAATATTTATTTGTTCTTGCACTTGAGATAATTGCGATGTACTTGGAACAGCATCAAATAATTTTGCAGTAACTTGTTCTTCAGCATTAACTTTTAAATCAGAAACCATACGTTTATTCAAAATTGTACTATTTTGATAATCATTCAAGAAGCCACCTCGAATCTAAAAAAATTTATTTTAATGCAACATATATTTACAAAAAGTTTTTATATTATTTATAATAATTAATTTACTTTGAAGTATACTTCCACTCCATAAATTAAGAAGAAAATCACAACAATAAATAAGAGTACTGCATAACAGCCATTAAAAATATGAGTGTAAGAGCTCTAAAAAAAATTAATTAATATAATGAATTATTGATAATGTCATACTCAAATAATTGAAATTATTATAATAAATATACTATTATTTAATTTACCTGATCTTCTTCAGAATATAATTGAGTGATAATAAACTCTGCTAGAAGTAGAGAATATGTTAATACATTAAATACAGCAAAACCTATGAATGATTTTGAAAGAAATTGTGGTTTGTCCCATGACATATTTCTCAAGTGAAATACTTCAGCCCAAAAACAAACAATTAAAGAGGATCCACTCAAAACAAGTGGATAATATGCAGATAATAAACTTCTAGACCATCCTTCTTTAAATGCAGTCTATAAAAAAATAAATTTGTAAATATTTAAAAGAGATTAAAGAATTTTATTATAATAATATTTTTACGTAATATTTACTGGTGATGTAAAATATGCTCCTCTTATCAATGATGCAAGAAACACAATAAAATATAAAACTTTTTGTGTTGTAACTCTGCAAGCTCTAAGAAAAGATGGTGCTTTCATTTTTTGCCATTCTGCGATAATACACATAATAAGTTGTATTAAACAGACAAATGCCAACATAAAAAATATTGTGGCAAATGCAATATAATAACTTAAATTTGGAACATGACATTCTAATCCATCAAATTGAATCTATGAGAAAAAAATATATAAATATTTTGAAATATAAAAAATAATTTAAATCCAATTATACAATAATTTAAGTTACAATTATAATATTACCTCACATAAACAAGTACCATTATGACATTCTCCATGTCCGGAGCAATTTTCATTGCCACAGGTATCATTCCAAGCCATCATTCCAAACTTTACTAATAAAGTTAATGGATTTTGTGTACTCAAAGCAATCATTTGTTCCATGATCACTAAATAAAACTGACTGTTATTACACAGTCGTTATGAAAATCTGTTAAATGTAACAAACAGATATTTAGATATTTTCAAAATATTCAAAAAATGATAAATTAGACAATATGTGAATGCAAATCAAATCTATAAACATTAATAACATATTATGATATTATAACATAAAATATTGCATGTATATTCACAAACAATAAAATAAAAGTTACATAAGAAATATTTGTTAATAAGAAAACTTTAAACTAATAATTATTTAAATCCTATAAAATAACAATAAAAATTGAAATAAAAAGATTATAATAAAAAATATAAAACACAAATTAAATTATACAAAGGATTATTATTACGTACCATAAAATTAATCCATAACAATATTTACAAATATTTTTATAAATATAATTATAACATAACAAAAAGTATTATGAATCCTAAAAAATCGAAAAACTATTGTAACTCAAACTTACTAATAAACTGCGCACTTTATTCTTAGCACTGATATTTCTGTTTAATGATATAAATTTTATATGGTCCAAATACAATTTTAACCACCTACGCAATAATTTAATTCTTCATCAGCTGTCACTATTACTACATCTTTAATAAATATTGACATTAGATAAAAATACGATTTATTGTCATGAATTTTTTTAACATTTTAAAACATGAACTAACAAAAATTATTTAAAAAATGACAAGTCACCAAATTAAAGATTCAATTTCTATAATATTTCTTTGTTAGTATTCGAAATTAACGTTTTTTTCTTATAAATCCACCATTGATAAAAGTACAAGCATAGATAAAGTATAACATAGATGTAACATCTAATTCATTTTCATGTCATATAATTTAAAAACATAAACGAATTGTATTGGAAGTTCGTGAAGTTCTTTATCATTTTTTTACTTATAATATAATCAACTTATTATGGAATTTTTTGAATATGCATAGCATAAACCAAATATCTTCAATCTATC